TCTGCATACAGACACCTGTGGTGTCTGGTATCTGTTGCTTCTGTAACCGGTTTTATTTTTATAGAGTTCTGCTACTTATTTTTTCTCCCTCTGATAAACCATGTATGGTGGGAGCCGGGTGTGGTGCCTGGCTGACAGCTGTGATCCCAGCATAGAGCCAATGGACTGGTGTGAGCAGCTGGGGGAGATGCTGAACTTCTGACTGAGCATTTATGACAGCAAAGACTGAGCACACCTTTGCACAGGGCTGTGACTGGTGCTTCCTTGCCTGGGATCAACCATGCCATTGCAAGCTGGAGGGAAAGAAGAAATGTCCCCAGGCAAGTCTTCTTCTCACAGTGGCTGCAGGGGATGGTGGCTTAGGTCAGAGAGCACAAGTGCATCCCTATCCCATGGGCAGCAAAAGCCACTCAGGGTATCGCCTGTAATGGTCAGATGGCCATTCCCCCAACAACAACTTAAACAGGGGAGATGTAGGTTAGATATAAGGAAGCAATTCTCTATTGTGAGAGTAGTGAGGCAGTGAAACAGGCTGCCCAAGGAAGCTGTGGATGCCCCATCCCTGGCAATGTTCAAGGCCAGGTAGGACGGGGCTTTGAGCAACCTGGTCAAGTGTGAGGTGTCCCTGGCCATGGCAGGGGGCTGGAACTAGATGAAGTTTAAGGTCCCTTCCAACCCAAACTGTCCTATGATTCTATGAAACCAGGATAGAACTGGGTGTGAGCAGAAAGCCTGGGAAACACAAGCTGGAGAAGGCAGTCTGGGTCATCCCTGCTGGCTCTCTGAACTTGGTTTTGCCCATTTAGCTACTCACACTCAGGCATTTCTGGCTCCTATTTTGTGCCCAAAGCAGATATAAGAAATACCTGTGGTGTACTCCTTCCTCTCTTGGCAGACTTTTCTGGGTGGGCTAGTGTGTATAGAAAGTCAGTAGTGTGCTTCAAGAGCCAGCCTTGTGATGTACTGAGATGCATATCTGGGTAATTCGTTATGGCTTTGTCCCTGTAAGTACACCTGGTTGTGCCTTTCTTTTGTTCAGGGCTTCAGCATGCAGAGGCTGACTCACAGCATGGCCAGCAGTCAGCAGGTGCCGAGAACTGCCTGTATAAATGGGTCCAGTGGTTCCTGCATGTGACAAGGTTTTGAGGGAGGTGAGGATGGCAAGTGACCTTTTTCTCTTGCCAGCTTTGTAAAATGAACAGGAGTTTTCAAAGCACTCCCTGCATAGCTTTGCTTCTCTTTCCAATTGGAATAGAACTATCAACTGGTGAGAGCTTATGGAAATCTGGATTTTTGGTTGACCTACCTGCTTATCAAAGGGAAAATGGAGATGGAATTTGGCAGTTTCTCACAGAGTTGCAGCCTTCCATTTAGAAAAAGAAAGAAAAAGGAAAAAAGTGTAAATTTCTTAGTCTCTTTCCTAGTTTGTGAACAAATACAAACAAATCCCACAAACACATAATAAATTCTGTTTTTTTTTTAATTTTATTTTATTTTTTACACTGCAGTGCGCAGGAGTCAAATTGGAGGATGTTCCCTGTTGTTTTGTTTTATACAGCAGTTAATTTCTTTTATTCTTATTTCAAAACTGCATTAGTTTCTCCAGGGAGCTTAGAGCAGTGCTGAGCTTCAGGTGTGGTGGACCCAGAGGTCAGCAGTTCTCAGAGAGGGGAAAGCTGTAAGGTTTTCATGGTTTTGGTAATTGAACTTAAGGGTTGAAGCAGTGCTGAGTAGTTGGTAGCTGGGGGGTTGGATCCTGCCTACAGTAGCCTTGTCTGCTGAAAGAGATAGAAAGTCTCTCCCCTTTCCAAGTGGTATTGGTCCAGCTTGGAAGATGAGACTCATGCAGTATTTGTTCTGGTATTCCCTGTTGTGGTCCAGCTTCCAGTTTTCTAGCTTAGACAGCAAATTTGCCAAGCACTTGCCATGCTAGCAGGTAAGAAGCTGTGATTGTTGTCAAAGTGTAAGAGTACTTTAAAGCAGAGCTTTCCCCCTGCTCCCAGGTCCCAGAGAGAAAACGTGAGTTAATAAAATACGTCCTTGCAGCTGCTTAAGTATAGTGAAAGTCATGTCCCCACCATAATTTCTGATCAGCTTTGTTGCAATCTAGTGAAGCATTTAAGTGCTTGCCTCCAAGTTTGTTTGATTTAATCATACTCTGGAGAAATGGCTGCTGAAAAGAGCTGCTGTCTGAATGCTGCCTTGGGAAACAGCTATGAATTAAATGACAGAACAGGTGCTGTACATGTCTGCCACTGGTTGCAAAACATGGGAGGAGGAAAATTTTCTTTCCCAGATCATGCAAGAGCCCAGTAGACACCAGGAAAATGTTAAAGCATAAATTGGTTTGGAGAAAGAACATAAAGCAGCTCTTACAGGTGGTGAGTGTGCAGCGTGGCAGCAGTCTCTGATGGAGAGCTGGGTTGGGGTGCAGGCACAAGAACTCATGTATCTCCATCCCTTGAGAGGTCTACTCACTGAGGTGTCACTGGACACACTCTGTAGACACACCAAATGTGCCCTGTACACAGCTTCCTGGGCTGTGGGTACTGTGTAGGATTTTCTTTCATTTCTGTAAATAGCAGAGACTTTCTCAGAGGCTATATTTCGTGCTCTATGGGGGATACTGTGTCCTTCATCAGATGTATGCCAGAGGACTGGGTTGGTGTCCTCCCTAAAGAAGGAAGATGGAGTGTGACTCATTAGTAAAGATCAAGACAAGTATGTGTCACTTGCTGCAAGGCAAAAGCCTGGGGCATTTGTTCTTCCTGAGCCAATCTGAAGTGCTGCTTAAGTGTGTCCTGATCTTTGGCCATAATGATCCCCAGGGACTTCCTTAGCAAAATCAGATAAAAATCAGTACTGCCTGGGGCATGTGTTCATTTTCAGAGGTTGTGACCCAATCTTGTAGGCATTTGGGCCAGAGAGCAGCAAAAGGCGTTTCTGGTACCCCAGGCCAGGTTTTTGCTACATCTCAGAAGCTCATCCAACCAGCCTGCAAGAAAAATGCTGCTTCTGAAAAAATGAGAAGGCAACTGGAGAAAAAAATGCAGCCTCTTTGCCTTATGTTTGGAAGTAGTTTTCTGGCTCAAAATGTGAGCGAATATTTTAATCATAGTAGGAAATAAAGAACAAGTCAACGAATAAGATCAGGGCTCTGGCCAAATCATTATAAATATAGTGGCTTCTAGTAGAAAATATTGAGTGACCCCAGAGAATCAGCATCAGCTTGTGCAGAAAAATGGAGTTGAGTCTAATTCTCCTGGGCTGCTGGCTGCATGGTAGGAGAAATATTAGCCCTTTCTTTTGCTCTCTTTTTGTAGGTTGGTCTTAAAATCTCTTGATAGCTGTCACCTGAAAATTAAGTGAAGTGCCTACAAACTGCCAGCAATGCCCTTTCCTTCACCTTCAGCTGTTTGCCTTTGGATCCGAGCTTCTTATACAAGTTTAGAGAAGATAGGATATATAGAAATAGTGAAAACTCCAGAGTTGGAAATATTTTATCGTACTGCTATGAATAGTGTAGCAAAGCCCTTGTTAGCATTTAGGAGACCTCTCTCTTGTAGCTCAGTATAAGTAGGATGTGGGATAATTCCTCCTGTTGGTCATATCTGTTCTGTTACTCTGAGAAACCTACTTTTATGGTACACTCTGACTAAAAGTTGCTGCATGTGTAGCATGAGCGTGAGGCAAGTTGTACCAGTATGTTTGACCTGCTTGTGTATGTTCAGTCGAGACAGATTTTCACAGAACTGAATATTAGGATCGTCAAATAGCTTGTGCAAGATTCAGAGAGGAGCCAGTGGATCACAGGATGAGCAGTGGGATATGCTCATGGGATTCTCATTGCAAGTTCAGCTGTGGCATATGCACAAGACTAGTTTCAGCTCGTCTGTTTTCCACATTATTTTTGTTTTGGGTCAGAGTTAAGGCTATTTAAATGTTAATGTTGCTGTTGAACATGTCATAGCTATTATAGTATGTGATTTTCAGGCTTGTTCATACTTGATGTGCTACTTTTTGGTAATCGTGTGCACCAACAGTTCTTCTACACGTTAACATATTTTGAGGCTGTGTAGGAGTTATGTGCCAGAGGGAGTAAATCTAGCTATGTATATAAGGTAAATTACAAATGTGGATTATAAGTGTGAGAATCAGGGACATTCCATACCAAAATACTTTATCTGAGTCAAGTGGCCTATTTGAAGAACTCCATTAGGTTGTAGTAATAGCAGGCATTTACCCATCCTATGGATCAGCTCCTGGAGAGCTGAAATCAGGCGCACTTATCCAAGTGATGTACCTACTTCCTCTCAAAAGAAATCCGTGCCAACTCTCTGATATCCACCCAGGCTTAAGTCAGCTTCTAGACACATTTCTTTGCAGGCTGGTATCAACAGCAGAATTATGACCTTTGGTGTCAGACCTGCTGGCATCTTTCCTATGAATTAAAAATGTAATGATGTTAGCAGGCAGCAGTCCAAGACATTGATCTTTAAGCCCAAAAGCTGCTTATTGTTCATTTTGTTTTGCACTCAGAAATTGAATGTGTTTCTGTCTGGGTATGCAACTGGGAAAGCATTTAGGTGTCTGTGAGGATCAGGGACTTTGAATAGCTATTCTGGCATAGTTTTACAGGTAAGCCCACAGGGTGAAATTTTGGCTCAATCAAAGTCAATGACAAAAACATCTCACTGACTATCAGGAGTTAATTGGACCTTGAATTTCAAGGCTGTGGACTTGTGGCTTTTGCAAAGTTAACACAGTTATTTAAAAAAAAAACCACAAAACTACAAAACCTGCTTGAGGAAATAAGTGTAATCTCAAACCCTGCGCTCTGGTATTTTTTCCTTAGATGAGATTTGTGTTACCATGAGCAGTTATGGTACTTCCTTGGCAAGAGACAGCTCACTTGCTGGTATTAGGTAATTTTCCTCAGGATATTAATGTATGTGTAGCAGGGGTCAAACAATAATCCCATCTCATTTCTCTCTTTGCAGGCCCTCTACAATTCAATCAAGAATGAGAAGCTGGAATGGGCAGTGTAAGTATACCGCATAGAAATTAGGAGTTTAAAAATAGTACCTCTGTAGTAATCTCTCTATACATCCTATGTCACCATTCAAGTGGGCTACGAAGCCCGTAGAAGACAGCTAGTATACGTAATGAGTTTGCTTTTCTGTTAATGAAAGACCTGGCAATACTGCCTCATCTGTTTCTCCAGCGAAGGGAATTGTTAATGATAGGAGTCAACTGCATTTGTAAGGAAAGAGGACATTTCGTTTAGAAGGAAACTTCAGCCTGAAAAGAGAGAAATTAAATCCTCCATTGTTCTATGACTGCATAAATAAAACAGAAGTTGACTTCTCCCTTTATCTTTCGGTACATTGTGTCAGAACCACAGAATAGAAACACATGCCTTGGATTGAGTTTCCTGCTATTGGTTTATTGTCTTGGTTTGTCTCCTGATTAACTACGGATAACTTGACAACAATCTAATATGAAAGATGATAAATTGGACAAAGTGATATCCCCCTGTCCATAGGCTTTTGACAGCCTAACACTTGTTAACTATGGAAATACTGCAGACAGGAGAGAGCTTCAATTTCTGCTTGTGTTAAATTGTCATTTCTCTGTGCTTAGGTTTCATGAGGTCTAAGCATGCCAACAAAGAGTAGAAGGACCTATTTTAGTTTTTGCCACTTGTAGAACAGTGGAATTGGGAGTAAAATAAAAAAAAAATAATCTTTTATCTATGTTGGCTGTATGAGACGTTTACCTGAGTAGATTTGCATATCTGAAATCTCACCTTCTTGAGAACAATATATGTGTGGGATGCATGGTCCTGCTAGAAGTCCTAACACCTGCCATAGGTCTTGCAGGCTCATTGGCTTCTGATCTTACCTGTTTCATCATCTGCAAATGAACTTCTTGTCAGGGCAGGGTGTGCAGCCTCACAAAGGCTGCTGGTCTCAACTGGGATTGCAGCCTCTGTTCATGAGTGTATTAGGTAATGTCAAAGTAGTGAGGAAGGTGTTCTGCTAGGGGGAATCACCAAGAAATGCCATTTCTGATGAGCTTTATAAGAAGTATGGTTGGAGACATTTTCCCAGCCTGTGTCTTGGACCTGGAATACACTGTGTGAATCTTACATGTCACAACACCGGAGCTGTTAGCAAGACTCTCTCAGGTACTTTGGACCCAGCAGAATCCATTATGTGACTTTCTCAATGTCAGAGTTTTCTTTCTCTTGCCAAGAGACCATACTGTGCCTAATACACTTGGGCAGCCTCCAGGTGGGAACTGGCTTATGCCTGGCTTTGCTCCTGTAAGCTTCAGTCAAGGTGATTTATGAGATAGTTTTCTTCTGTATAGGTAGTAACTGCTTCACGTTTACATAGTCCAGTCCATGTCCCTTGCTAATGAATTTTTTGGAGAGAAATTGCAAGCAGGCTGGAAGAGAGAAATCAGACTCATTCTTAAATAAGGCCTTGGGATGTGGGTGTAAAGCCACCTTCTCCCAGCAGAGAGCTCAATGGAGCCGATTGTCTGTTCCAGTCCAGTCCAGACAAATACCTTGGACTGACGGGAAAATTGCTTCACATGCAGAGAAACAAAGCTCATTCTGGGCATAGTCGAAGACTTTGTGCCTTTACCTTTAGGGCTGAGAGTGCTGGCTAGAAGAGGGCAGCATCTTTCACATCACCTCGCTTTCTACGTCTCATTTGTAGAGATGTGTGGTTGGTGTAAAGTAATCACCCCAAGAAGCCTCAGGACTGCCTTGAGCTAAAGAGAGGAGGCACATGACTCTCTTGCTCTGCTGTTGTCATCTTTAGAGAAAGGCAGATAGGAAGGGGGCATGGCTGGTTTTGCAGTGATGGGACTAGAGAAGATTCTCTTTCCTTTCCAAAGAGTATTGCTTTTCTTCCCTGGTACGGGGAAGAAGTGGGAGGTAAGGCAAAGGTGGAAACAGGGCTCCCTTGCGATGCTGGCATGTTGAAGGAATGCCTTTCCACCAGCCAGAATCCCTTTGAGGATCTAAGACTTTCTCTTACGAGCTAATCAGCAGTTTAAGAGCTGTTCTGGCAGTACATTCTTTGGTAGATTAATAAGTCCATCGGCAGGGGAGGGTAACAGCAATATGTAACATGGGGGAAGACTGCTGCATGATCCTTATTTTACTACTTGTAAGCTAGGTGTGTCATCTTCCTAAATGGTTTGCCATCCATTTCCAGTAGAATTACAGTCTGATCCAAAGCCCACAGAAAGAAAAGGCTACCATTGACTCCAATTTTGTAGTCAAGACAAGTGACACCTTAATCAGCGGATGTGCTCTAGAGACTTTCAGTAGGAGTATTCATTTATCCTTTATCATCAGGGAAGCACAATTACAGCTTTGGAAGACAGAATTGCATTACACTGCTTTTTCTGCAGTAGTTCCAGGCTTGAAGTTCTTCAAAAGGTTAAAAGCATATCACATACAATGGTCTAAAAATAAAGAGATCTGACCTGGAATTTACCCTGAACTAGTGAATGTGGGGTCCTGAAAGCGCACTCCTTCTTTTTACTGCACCCCCCAAATGTTTTGGTTGCTTTTCACAGTAGAACTGCTGGAAAACATTCTGCCATTTACTTGGCTTGCCGTTTACTTTGTTAGCTGTTTCCTCTTGCCTTCCTTGTTCAGTGTCCTGGGAAAAAAGAGAAAAGTGTCAAGGGAAAACTAACGATCAGAAATACAATTATTCTGTCGTTGTCCTGTTACATACTTCCTCTCTACTTAGTGAAGCACTAGGTGGTGATTGGGTCTCACAGAAGTCCTTGGCAGAAGTTGCTACTGACTGCAGTGAAACCACGTACTTTTTCATCCAGTTAGTCCATGCATCCTGTTTTCAGAGTGCTGAGGTTACTGGAACCACTCCAGGAGTGCATGTAGCCCCAATAATTGTGTCTCAATTTCTCATGGCTGCCTGAATTTCCCTGAGGGATTTGATACTTCCATAAGATTTTTTCATGCTCTTGTTCTTCAACCCTGACATCACTCGTAAGATGAAATGAATTCAAGATTCTGTGAACATGAGTGGCAAGATTAAGAGTTGGGTTTGTTTAGTTGGAAAAGGGAGCACTGAGTAGAGGGACCTGAGTGTATTTATTTCAGTGTGTAAAGGCTGTCACAGAGAAGAAAGGTGTGAATTATTCTTCGTGCCCATTGTGGGTGGGTTTAAATTTGAAGCAAGGGAAGTTTGGATTCAACTCTAAAAGAAGCTTTCTAGCAATAAGCCTTTTAAACCAGGGCATAGGTTTGCCTGGACGAGCTATGGAAGTGCTTTTGCTGAAGGATTTTGTGAGCTGTTTATTCTGTCCAGAATGGGTCAGGAAGAGTGGATCCAGGTTCAGAGGCAAAGAGACAGATTAGCTGACCTCTTGAGATCCCTTCAGGCCTATTTTCTATAGACGTTTCGCATCCTTTTGCTTTTGCACCCATCATCATCATCTTTAAGCTGAAGAAAAAAAGGTAATTTGGCTTCAGAGGCGCCAGAACTAAATATGTTTTGTTTGCAGATGTCTACATGGAAATGTGGTGGTGAACATTATTGTTCTCCATTGTTTGTAATACTGTGTTTACTTCCTGTTGAAGGTGATAGGAATAATAAAATCATCATCTTAAAATAGGCCGAGTGGTGATCTAGAATTACCATATGAAATCCCAATGAGCTGCTTACAAAATTGCAAAAAACGAATGGCTGCACTTGAGGCAGTCATATTCTGAAAACTCTCTCCTCAGGACAGTGTAGCTTTCAGGAGAATCACTTGGGTTTTGACTAGTTGATGATAGATTTCTTTCCAGAGAAATTTAGACGTGGATATGGTGTATTCCTTTTGTTTTTCTGGACTGCACTGAAAAATAATCTGCTTCTAGAGAAACCAAAATAGGTCTTTGACACAGTGATGGTGGGGAAGGGCTGCTGCTAAATCCTTTCTGTGTTTCCTGCAGCAACTGTGACACTGAGACTGGGGTGGTTATAAAGATGTCTGTGCTGAAGCTCACCTTTTTTCTAGATCAGACCAAGAAATCTCTCCCTGTTATAATTAACTCTTTGTCTCCCAAGTTCCAGGATGTTTCCTCTTTGGCTGGGTTTTGAGAGGGGTCAGGTGGTAATCACCTGGCTCTCCTTTCTTTTCTCCTCCTTTTGGGAAAGATGCCACAACTTCTGTCTGCTCATTTCTGAAGTCAGTTTGCTACTACAGATGCTATCAGTTCCAAAGATTCATAAATATGTGTTACAAATCTGATTTTTTTTTAAATGCTGTTTTTTAAATGGATTTGCATAGGCTTTTGTCATGTCATCTAAGCTTTCTATTTGAAAAAATTCAGACACAGAGCAGACTTTTAAAAATGAAGGGCTTGACCCTGTCTTTCCAGCTTTGTGACTTCGAAGTTTTCCAAGGCAGAGCCTCAAATCACACCATAAAACATAAAGAAATGTGTTTGTTCCTGAGAGAACAAGATGATGGTTTTCTCTCAGAATTAAAAAAGGTACTTTTCTTGTATAAGGTCTTTCTGGGGGGAGGCAAAAATATATTTCTTCACCAAAATGGCAACATATGTATTTTTGCAGTTTTTTCAAACCTGCGTGTTTAAAAGCCAGACTCTTTCTGGTTGTCAGTGATCATGCATTTGGTAAGGAAAACATTGCTGTTTTAATACTGTGTCTGCAAGTGATAGAACAAGCAGATCCTGGGTTTGGTTCTCATGGATAGCCAGTGCCCTGGTTACTGATATATCTGCAGATCCCTTCCCAAAGAGACAAGCTAAGGGAAGTGTAACTGAATCTCCTTGTGCTGTAAGTAGATTCTTGGAGAAACCTTACAGGTGGTAGCCTTTTACTGTCATGAGTACCCAGCAGAGTGAAGACACTAGAGACACAAGAGGGTTCACAGCCATTAGCCCCTTTGAGTTGTCAGAGGTCAGGGGTCACCAGAGGAATCACTTGCAGACCCAGAGCCAGGAGTGATTTCAGTCTGCTGATCAAAGACAGAAAATCTCGTAAGAGTTCTGCAAACCTAAGTGGACCCTCATGGTGGTGTTTTGCTACTGAAAGGTGCATTGGAACCAACGTGGGTTTTTTCCCCAAAAGCACAAGGATAGTGCTGTTTTCTGTACCACATGGAAAGGAGAGGCACTGAGCCTGTCCCTGACAGGGACCTGAGCTCTGCCTCTGTGACACTAGATCCATGACACTGAACACAGACACCACCCACTGACTCTTACTCCTGCATCACTGGAGACTGCTTTCACACTGGGGATATTACAGAGCTTGAATCATCTCCAGAAAGCCATCTGAGGATGAGGAAGTAGTTGCACCCCCACAGGCTAGGGTTTCAAAGATCAGTTTTCAGGTTGTATGTATCCAGAGGCCAGCTGAATTTTCTCCTTATCTTCCTTCTTGCAACCATACTCTAAAGGCTGGTGAGGGGTAAGCTTAAATTGTTAAATCCTTGTTAAAGCCAGTCAAGGACCAATCTATTCAGCCAACTTTGAAGGGCTCATAAGGAAAGCTAATACCTGAACTGTTTTGCAACTTTGACACTCCTCCCAGTTGTCCCACTTTCTTCTTACAGTTGACCACTGTTAAAAATTGAGTATTTTAATAAGTGAGTCCCAGGTCACTTGGTTTTATTTCCACTGGTGTTTCATATTCAAGATCAGAGAGAGAGAGAAGCTCCTTTTAGTTCTGTTTTCTCTGTTGTTCATCTGCTTCTCGTTCTACATAATGAATCCTCCTTGCCTCTCTGGTTCCCTTGCATCTTACAGACTGGCTCCTGTGTCTTGACCTTATGCATCTTGACAGAGCACTCAGCTCTCAAAAGTGCCTAAGGCTTCTGAGTCTCAACAATGTCCCATTTTAAGTGACAGATTAAAGGACCAATTAAAGGTTTGTTCAGTGCTACTAGCAGTCATGACAGCAGATGTCATTTTGTCCTTGTCTGGTCTGTCTACATTTGTCTTTTGAAGAATTCCTGTTTTAATAGCTTCCTCAGAGATGCGAAGTTCAAGAGCACTGCCCTCAGCACTAGTGGTGTCCATCATCCCCAGGACTGCTCACCACACCACCTGTGGCTGCTTGGATAAGGGTACTGGCACATTCCCACAGGACAGTTGATCACTATAGGATAATTCACTCCCATAGCTCCAAAGGAGGTAGCTTATTCCAAAAAAATGCTAAGCTATTTACTGCAGTAGGCCTCTGCTGGCAAGGAGAAATCCACTGTGTCCTTGGCTGAGATCCCAGAATTCACAAGGCACTTCAGTGTGACAAATCAGCGTAAGAGCTTATGCCCAGTGAGAAATTTTAGTCTGGACTAGGTACCACAGACTTGTGTTGGTAGAACTTGCTCCTGGAACAGACAAATATCTGAGAAACGTATGTCAGACTGTGCGTCCACAGATGTACCAGCAGCTAGTAAGTGTGGTAGATATAGGAAGGACAGGGCAATCAAAATTTTCAGAAATTTCTACACTTTTCCAGTTGGAGAGGGTTTCAACCAAAGCGTGCTTTGACCAAGGAAAGTGTTTTGCAAATCATTCTGTTCTTGAGTGGGAAAACGTGTCAATAGGCTGAAAGATGCAAGGACTGCTCTTCCTTGCAGGAATCGAGTCTTCAAGTAGAAGTTTTATTCCTCTTAGTCAGAGGACCTTGCAAGACAACACCATAAAGGCATGGTGCACCGATTTGGCTGCACCATTTCTATACATCTGAATCACATTTCTGGCACCTTTGCTTGACTCCCAGGCTAAATGTTGATGTGTATCCATACTGTTGAAAAGTCTTACCTTAGAAAAGGTGCTTGCCTCTGTACTGCCTGTTGTGGTGGTTTTTAACTGCGCTAATTCCTAAATGGTGTCTGGAAATAGTTTGGCAGTGTGCTGGGCTGAGACCATGCCAAGCACAAACTAATATGAAGTGATCAAAGTCAAATGCCTTGGAACATTCCCTGGCACTGCTGAGTTCACTAATATAGCCTCTGTGTTTCTGGATTTAGTTTCCTTGTTGTCGATCTATTATCCTTGTATCTCCCCAGACTAAGTTATTTCCCAGAAGACCATTTCAGGAGAGATCAGGATAATGCACATTGTTGCTGTAGCCCGAAGTTCTTGGAAGACATTTCTTGGGATAGTAATTCCCATAAACAGACATGGTTGTAGTGTGCCCCCAGATGAGCTTCTGGACTGACATACTCCTTGCTAATCCTCATCTGATTTGATGCCTTTGAATATATACTTGTGATTGGAAGGTCTGCCTGAAGTTTCTCTCCTGACCATCTGGGTGCAGTGAGATGCAGCGGCTTGAAGTGCACCCCCTCATCGGCCATCATTACACTCAAGTGATGTTGATTTTTTTTTTTTACATTGTATGCTGGTCATGACTTTCCAATGACAGACTTCATCCTCCCTGACACACCTTTCCCAGTCACCTGGAGAGGAGTGTGTGGGGACTTCAAAGACACAGAGCTGCTCTCTAATCTGACACTAACTCTGGTTCCTCCAAATACACCATCCATCCAGATTCAGTGGCCTGTTGTTCTCTGAAACCATCGCTCTACTCTTGTGATGAACACCCTTTGTTTTCTAGGTTTCCTGGTCCTTTTCCCAATTGGCTGTGACATATAAAAAGGAATTTATTAGTCAGGCAGTGCTTGTGACTTGCTGAAAAGGGTTGCATTGTTGTCCCCAAGAACTGTGTTGAATATATTGCCCTAATAAGTAACATTTTGGGCAGCATTTTGTTTCCAAAATACAGATAATGTAATTCACCTAGTATAGTTTTTATTTTTAAATTGCTACTTTTATGCTAGTCTGCAGAGGAAAATAAAGAAAAAGAGGTAGAGTCTGTGTTTCATATGCTAAGTTAAGGGCTAAGCCACAGTGATCTGTAGTAATCTAATTCTTTTCATCTACCTGTGAACTCATGAAGAAATTGGAGATTTTTCAGAACCCAGCAGGCAAATATTTCACACTTTAGCACTCAAATAAGTAGAATTAAAAAAAGGTGGAGTTTAAGGACACAGAATGATCTTGAAATACTGGCGTTTGAGACTGTAAAAGGGAAGCTTAGGCTTCATTGAGATCTGGCTCCTATGTCCTTGTGCTAGTGAAGTGGGTGAACTGAAGCTTTGCTATAATCCGACTATATTTTGGAGCATAGCTGAAGTTTTTCTCTAAATAGGGCCCCTATAAAGAGAGAGGTGTTTTGACAAGGAATGTGCAAGAATATCTGAAATTAAACGTTGCTGGTTAGTCCCTCATTCATTCTTGTTTTTTACTGCTTTTTAAGGGATGAAGAAGAAAAGAAAAAGTCTCACTCAGATGGTACAGATGAAAAGGATAATGTGAGCCAGACAAAGGCTGTCAGTCGAATTGGCAACTCAAATAACCCATTCCTGGACATCCCTCATGACCCCAATGCTATTGTGTATAAGACTGGCTTTCTGGCTCGGAAAATCCATGCAGATATGGATGGAAAGAAAAGTGAGTATCTTTCACTCTTAACATCATTTTCATGTTATCCATGCATAATGCCACATACGATGAGCCCATGTGCTTCTCAAGGCAAATAGTGCTGCTTCATTAGGGGAAATTGCAGCAATAGCAAACAGTGCAGCAATTGGATTATCACACTTCCACTATTAGGCCGGGATTTACAATTTTCAGTCCCATTTGTAGCAGCTCTAATACGTAAGCATAATGAATAGTGCAATACAGCAGGCAATGTAGATCTTTTGTACTAAAAGAAAATGAATCTCATGGCTTACAGAAGACAAAACAATTTGGAGTGAATTACAGTAGCTGTTCCGTAGCAGTTTGGTAATTCTCCTTTTCCTTGTGTGGCACCAGATTGTTTCAAATCTCCCCATGCCTTTGGGTCTGTATTTTAAAAAAGGCTGTTCTTTATCTCTACTTGGAAGATGCTGTAACTGTTCCTTCCCTACTTTGCTAGCCTTGAGTCATCTCCCCAGTGAAATACAGCAGCTTTTGGTGACAGCCAGATTTACACTATGCTGCTCCTCCCTACCCTTTTTTCTGGCAAACTTGCTGTGCCTCTTACTTTTATTATTCTCTTTCCCTTTTGTCCTACATACATTTGTGATCCACTAATTATCGAAGGTCTCTGATTCAGCTGTGTGTGTTCTGTTGTTTGGACATCTTCATTTGTTTGTTTTCTATTGATCTGCTACTCAGAGCATCTATATTTTTCCTAGTTGTTGATGATCCCCTACTCAGGATTCACACTCTTTGGCTGAATCCTGAAGGCAAAGTCTGATTTTGTGATGGGTTTCCAGTAACTGCAACTGTCTCCTAGCTTGGCTTAGCTCTTTGATGTTTGCATGTTTTGCTAATATAATTTAGAAGGTACAGTTGGAGGTTGGTGTTTGTAAGCTGGAGGCTGACAGCTGGGTGGCTAAATCCAAACAGAGATGTCGAAATCAAACTGACCTCGTTCTTTGTGATGACTGGATGCTTTGAATAGGTTCCTCTTTATTAAACTTCTGTTTATTTAACCTTAGTAAGTAATTGTATCTAGTTGCCTTTATTAAATTATTTCTTTAATTAAAAGTAATCAGAATTGCTCATTATTCAGCACACCGGATGCTGGCATTCTGGGGATAATCCTTTTATGAGTAATGTAATTAAGGCCATGTTTTCAGAAGTTCCTGTATGTCTAGGGGGCCTGCCTCTTATTGTCATGCAGCTCTTGAAAAAGTTACATTCTGACTCTGACTCATTGCAAATAAAATGAGACTTTTTCTTCTTTTTTCTTTTAGTTAGACCTTGTCATATTTCATTTCCTATTGGAGCTGTTACAGATCAGCCTGTGCAGGATTGCTAATGAAGTGATGTGCTGGCATGTTATAGGTATTTTCTCAGGAAAGGAGTACTGAGGACTGAAACACTTAAGCAATCTAGAGGAAAAGGATGTAACAGGGGCCAGTGGCTGGAAGCTGTCCAAACAAATGCCAATTAGAAAGAAGTCCCGTTATGTAAGATGAGAATGATTAACCTCTGGAGCAAGAGACTAATAACCTCTTCACTATCACTTGCTGTCTTAAGATCAAAATGGGATGCCTTTCTGAGGGTGATGCTTTAGTCATACATGTGTTATTAATTTCAGTGCAGACACAAGTGGATGCTGGTAAGTGGTGCATGTTTGGTGGAGCTTAGATGCAGGCTTATAGCCTCAGGCTGTGGCCGTACAGTCTGTGCCTTCTCTCCCTCTATTGCAGCTGAATTTCAAACTGCAGCAATCATGCTGAATCCCCCTCTTTAGGTTTCTTGAGGGATGATTTTGTTTTTCTCATTAGTATTCTGTTTGGCTCCCCTCTCTTTTTTCTTCTTTGGCTTCCCCTGTGGCTGCAGGAACAGGGGAGGGGACCAAGAAGCTATCCGACCGCTCAGTGCCAACTCAGGTGTGCAGCAGTGGCAAGAGGGAAGGATGCTCTTGAGAGGCACTGCTTTCTAAGCAGTGCCCCATTGGTCCTGAGCAGTGCCTGCCAGCTTGCTGTGACATGAAGAAAGGGTATTTCCTTCTGAGAACTGTCACGGCACAGACTGCAGACCTAGCTCTGTAGGGACAGTGTCCGCCTACCTGCAAGAGCACAAAGGCTGGATCTCTCTGACCTTCTTTCTGCATTGCTGCTGCTCCCTTCTGATCCAGTCCAGGGCTGTCGTCAGAGTTGGTTTATTACTCTCTCACACAGCAGGTATGTGCAGGCACTGTGCTAAGTTGAATTGTCCTTTGAGAAGTAGAGTACAAAGGAGGTTTAACACAGGATTAATGTAGCTTTCCTGTTGCCTAGAAAAGTGTAAAAATGGATCCAAGTTAAATGGGTTTTCATTTGTTTTCTTTGCAGCTCCCCGGGGAAAGCGAGGCTGGAAAACCTTTTATGCTGTACTAAAGGGAACGGTCCTGTACTTGCAGAAGGTATGGGAAATCACTGTCTTTTGGAAACTAATTAAAGCTGGATAAAGCAGCAGGCATCCTCTCCGCTCTCACAGCCCACCTCCAGGCTCCTTTCCCTTTGACACACAGCGTAGCTGCACTCTCTGCCCCTTACCCTGTTTATACACACATTCAGGCATGAATCCTTTCATTGACATCTCCCTCTTTTCATAATTTAAAGTTAAGTTCCATTGTCCCCATTCACATGTGTACCCTATTGCTTCTGGTTATATCATTGCCGTCAATCACAGCTGAAAAAATAGCCAGCTTCACCTGCAAAGACAGCATTATCTCTCTGTGTCTTGCATACATTCCTCTAGGCTGCTTTTAACATTGCATTTCATACATATGACTTCTCCTCCTGTAAGGCTGTCCTCCTTTCCCATCTTTTCATGGTATACATTTTCGCAGTGCCTGCAAGACCAGCTGCAAATCAATTGAATGGCAGCTTGGCCTTGGTAGGAAGCTGCAGCTTCTACTCCCCAGCAGAATGGAAGGATAAAAGGATACTTTTTTTCTCCCCAGAGCAAGATGAGATACTGGTTTCTAATAAACTTTGCTCCATGACATCAAGAAGTCTAAAAAAAAATGTCAGCTGAAACCCTTCAAGTCTTTTGGCACAAGTTTAAATATATTATAGTGCAGTTTTAACTGTACTCTTGGTACATGAAATGCAGCATATGGGTGAGAACTGTCAAAATCAAATAAATGATAGCAGCAAAGTAGATTGTTAAGATTTTTTGGCCCCCAGCATAGGTGAAATATTAATGAAGTAGGTGATGTTTGTCCAGGCTGTCCTGTATTGTAGAAGTGTGCTCCTTTGAAAGCCTTTTTATTTTTCCACTATGGTTTACAACTGTCAGGAGCACAAGTTCAAGTGCATACTGCTGTTTCCTCCTCCCCTGCTGTGGCTTTCTGAAGTTGTTGGTTTCACTGGAGCCACCCTGGATAGCCTCTTAGAAGAAAGAGAGTACTTTGGTTCTAATTTTTGCAGCATGAGGTTTGCAAGGTGGATGCTCTTAGTGCAATACTTTTTTGAGAGAGCTGAAGTCTTGTAACAGACAAAACACATCTGCAGTCAGGATGGAAGATTTGGGCTGAAGGTTGTATGTGACATACTCAAAGCCAGTGCAAGAGACCAGAACCAAGCTGAGCCTTCCTTCTGGTCCTTTTGCTAGCAGCAGATTCAGATTTTGCTGAAGTGGCCTTCATGGCAGGTTTGAGTAATCTTCTTTGATTTCTGAACTAAATAATTTTTAGTCGCCTGAGAAGACTGCATGGCTCCCTAAGAAGTGAAAAGGTTCCTTGTCCGTAACACATTAATTAATTTCTTGCTTGATCTTTGAGGGGGGATAAGTTTGCTACGGGAAAAAATGGAGATGCTGTCTATTTCAGAGTCTTAATAATTTTAAGTACTCATATTAAGTACTCATATACATAATTAAGTACATAATTAAGTACTCATATTTTTATGAGTATTACTGGTATATTAGTTTAAAATGCTGTTTAACAAGATGTAGAGATGCTGACGTAGCATGCTAATTCTCTACAGAATGGTGCTCTTCCCACTCTCACCAGTAAGAGAGTAATTTCACATCTGAGTGCATTTTTGCATTGCTGGAGTTCTTACATATTTGTTATTTGTGTGTCTTGTACTTATCACGGTATTTGAATTCAGTGATTACAGAGTAGCTACTTTGCAAAGCTGCAGTCTCCCACTTGGTTCTGAAGACACTTGCACTGAAATTATCTCACTGTAGCAGTGACAAGCAAGGCTTTTACTTTAGTGCCTTGTACTTTAGCACAAGGTTGACAAAAGGGCCTGATGGGAAGTGTCTTATTCACAGGATGATGGGGCAGCTCTGAGCTTCCCCAGGGCTTTGCTTCAGCCCTGAAATAAAGTTTGCTCAGTTAGGGACACATCGCGAAGTTGAGGGTGCCAGGGTTTTAAAATACACAGCTAGGCCAAGTAGAAGTTGATGAGCTGATATTTCATTTTACAATATCAGGACACTGAAATTATCCTAATTTCAGAAAATTCAGGAGCGTTTTAGAACAGCTTGATTTGTTCGTAGAAATGCATAGCTTTGGCAGTAGTCATGGTCAAAAGATGTTTTTGCCTTTGTCTTCTCTCCTGATTATGGAATGCTATAGGACAGAGTGCATTCACGTAAGCAAACACTCATTTTCCTTCTTTCTCTCATTATCTGTACATAATCTGTTTATCTGTGGAGGTAACATCTGTGGTGATGGGTCCATTGCACTGGGTGCTGTTTAAGTGGGGGAGATGTAAATCTCACTGTTGTAGGTGCTATATAAACACAAATACATATACCAACCTCTGCAGTGTTGCTTTCTGTGTTTATCTGTAACTCAGCTGTTCCCTCAAGACACTACTGTAATATAAATATTGTTTGTAGCAGCTGTGATTCCCCCAGTGGGCAGTGTGATCCCATTTCTGCTGTCATTCTGTTTGCATACTAGTCCAGTTCTCCTTGTTCTGCTATCAAAGTCCATGTGTGAGAGTGGTTTGTAAAGGGTGGTCACTTGAGATTTACTGAGGAGTTTATCTGGGCCATTTTGTCTCCATGCCCACATGTATTTTCTTTTTTATCATTGGAACTGTTCCAGCGCCAATTCATGTGCTGCGTATTGTTTTATTTTTAAGTAAGTGATTTAAGAGAGATGGTTTTTGAATTAGTGAGCCCAAATGCCACTGGAGGCACTCAGTGGAAGAGTTCACAATTAGCCAACTAAATGTGCCTGCATAGTATTACATAAAATGAGAGGTTTGACATGTTTGGGATGTTGGCGTTGTCCCTAGGCATCCTCAGGCCAAGGTTACTTTCCTGCCCTCTGTTCATAGCAGGAGGAAATTGTGAAGTAGGAGCTTGACAGAATGTCTGTTCACTTGACTGACATGGGATGTGGTGTGCATACAAAAGAGAGGCTTATAAAGAGAAGACATAAGGCTGGCCTTGCCTCCTTGCTAGACATTGCTTCTGGGCAAGCAGTGCAGGACATGGACCTTCATGTTTTGTTTAGGCTCTTCTGTGAGGTTTGCAACATCTTTGCTCTTTGATGTTGCACTTAAAAATCTTGCGGGCTTTCAGGTGGTTTTATATAACTTTTCTGAAATGTGTTTCCTCTATTGAAATATTAAAGAAAGACCAGAATGATGTAAAATGTTAAGTGACGAGACATTCTGGAAGAGAATTCTGCAGCTGTCACATGCAACTGAGGGAGATATCCACCCACAGTACACTGACTGATAAAAAGCCAAATACCATTCTCTGGTCTATCAAAAATGAATTTAGAAACATGCTGACTTCAGGTCAGCAGGATGTGGTAAAGTCATTCTCCAGGAGTCTGAGAGTGATGAATTCAGCGTGTCATTGCATTGTGTGCAGCACTTGCATCAGACTTCAGTTGATAGAAAGGTCACAGTTCTTTTTCGGCTTATCATTTATTTCTTGCTACTGGCTTGGTCTAACTTTAGTGAGCTGCCTTCCGTTTCAGCTCAGCCTCCACACTGACACTGGCACATCAGAGCATGTGCTGTCCTTGATGGCATAAGAGATATGGGTGTTCCTGTGCCCCTAAGCATTCCCTGCCAGCTGGAAAGAGTTGGAGCCCTTAGAGGTGGAATTTTAGCAGCACATTCATGTCCTTCTAGTCTTCTCTGAGGCTGGCCAGCTTCGCAGAGACATTTCCGGTATGCTGATCAGTGCCTTTGGAGACGCTGGCAGAGCCCCATCTGTCAAGGTAGATTGCAGCCAGCTGATCCGGTGGGATTAGCAAGGATTAGTGTGAATGCTGTCTGTGGGTAAGGAGGAGTTCTCTCAGCCAGGACTGCTTCTGGGACTGCCCAAATGTGGAGTTCTTCTGGAACACGATTGGACACCAGAGTAGGTTGTGGACATAGGATGCGTCTCACAGAGGAAGCTGGGAGACAACAGGCAAGGTGATAATTGACACTGTCGCTAGGCAGTAACTTCAGGAAAGCCAGGATATTTCTCATGTTTCTGAGGTCTGTGTAAGCTCATTTCCTGGCCTTGAAGTTTTTCCAGTCCCCCTGTACAGTAGAGCGAGTCATTTCCCCCCCAAACTATCAAATAAATCGGCTTTTGAACTCATGAAGGAAGGGCATGACCTGTGGGCTTGTTTTCTCCATCTTCAAGATGGGGCTCAGCCAGACGTTAGACAGCCTTCTCCAGTTCTTGTCCTTCAGCTAGAGCCTTTCCCAAATCTTCCTTGAAGGAAGTTTAGAGAGTGCTCTAAGCATGAGTTCAGTACGATGTGGAGATCCCTCCAAAGGTTGCTGGGACTCAAGCTATGAGTGAGGAAGGACATTTATCTTTGCTCTCTTGAAAACTCCTTTTGCCACACATGTTAAAGTTGAAGGCTACCCTTTGCTCATCTGTGCAGCAGTGCTCTGCCTTTCTGCTAGGCCTGCCAGATCTGTGATGGGTTGTGTCTTTGTCTGGCCCCAGGTGGAAGTGGTGCTGCAACAGTTTGCTGGTTAGCTGCATCTCCTCAGGTGAAGGGTCTGAGCAGCAGCAAGTCCTGAGCCTGCAATAGCTGGGCCTCTGTGAGGAAGGACGAGATGAGCAGTATGCTCTGTCCTCCCTTGTAGGAGATGGTCGCTCCATCCATTGAAACTCATCCTGGAGAGCCCTGACCATACCCAGTCTGGCTGAGAGCGGATGCCTTCAGCAGAGGTGTAGTTGGCTCTGGTTGCAGTCTTGGTCTGCATGCTGTCACATTAAGCCCTGTAAACCAGTTCATGCGTGTTAACCACCTCCTTTTCAGCATGGGTGCCTCCTTCGGTACTTAAGCTAGTGCTGTCCCTGCACATGCTCTATGACCTGCCCTCTGTTGCCTGCTAAACCCCATCTTGTAACTCTTGTGTTCAAGTAGAGGGATCAGTAGTTAACCACACGCCTGCAGGGAACTATTCCTCTGTTTTGCAGCTGTCACACCCCCTCCCTTGGTGGGTTTCAGATGAGACTGATTTTTTTGATGTGATAAGGGTAAGAAATAGAGTCAGTTGCAGATTGCTTTGGTCTGTCCTTCAGAAGCTGGGTGCATGCAGCATTGCTTGCAAGTGACTTTTCCTCGGAAAAGGTCCTGGCTTTCCCAAGCCATTTATAGTCAGGTAGGCTTTGAACTGGACTTGTGGCTACACCATGTTTGTACCCTCATCCAGGTTCTGTAGCTCACGAGATCAAAGTCTGCTCCCAGGCTAATGCTTGCAACATAGAGAAGTTTGACCCCCTGCTTTTGTCATCTGGTGTTAAGAGTGGTGCTGTTGTGTGAGAAACCTGGACGGTGCTGTGCTTGCCATTTGCAGACCCTGAGTGGAGAGATTTAGAGGAGTTTGATGTATTGCTATGTGGAGATTGATGATGAGGATTCTCCTCTGTGTGAGGGCCTGCCAGGAGGACATACAGATGTAGTTGTTTGGGAGAAATAAAAATTGAGCAGTGGAAGCTGAGAACCCAAGCAATTGAGCAATGGAGGTGGGGAACAGGCCATGAAGGATTCCTTAAACGAAGGCTAATAGTCCACAGCTATTGTGATAGTCAAATACTCCCTGTTTACTCCTCTTCCTGTCAAGCAGATAGTGGAACTACTTTTCTCACTTGCAAAGAAATCAAAAAAACAGAAGGAAAGAGAAAAGAAAAGGTGTTAAAGGTAGTGGAAACCACTCTCAAGTGCTCTAGTCAGACTTCATTCATTTAATGTACTTTAGTACTATTTATGACTATGGAACAAGTTTTTTTTCTAGATTAAGGAAAAAGGGGTATTACATGGAGAAATAAGATGCCATTTTTCCCTGTTAACTCCTGCAGGATGAATATAAGCCAGAAAAGGCTTTGTCAGAGGAAGATCTGAAGAATGCAGTTAGTGTGCATCATGCACTGGCATCCAAGGCAACAGACTATGAGAAGAAACCCAATGTCCTAAAGCTTAAAACAGCAGATTGGAGGGTCCTGCTTTTCCAAGCCCAGTAAGTGCTCACTTCTGTTTTGTGCCAGTCACTGGGGAAAGAAAGCAGTGCTGAAGGAGGGATAAATTCATTCCCGAACAGGTTAAAGCAGAGGTTTAAGAGGCTGAATCTGTTTATTTGATCAGAAATAAGATTAAGCAGTGATTTGATTACAGTGCAAAAGTAGTTCATGAGAAAGAAGCATGAAGTTTTAAGAGGCTTTTTAATCTAGCTGAGAAAGGCATAACAAGATGCAACAGCTGGAAGCTGAAGCTGCAGGAAATTCAATTTGGAAACAAGGCACAAACTTATAACAGTCAGGGTGATTAATCATTGAAAAAAATGTCCAAAGGCAGTCTTGGATTGTCTGTCTCCTGATGTCATCAGGTCCTAGCCGGATGTCTTTCTAGAATATATGCTTTGGTCAGAAACAAAGTTACCACTTAATACAAGAATAATTTGATTAGGATCTTCAGGCTGTGATATCCAGACAGAACAGATGACCCGTCTTTTGCTTCTGACATTAAAAACCTGTGCATCAGTCTTCAGCATGAGCCCTTTTCTACTATGATTCATGTGAAACCTCTTAGAAATCTGTGGTGTCCAGCACAGCTAAAACCTTAGAACATACCTCTGAATCAGGACATTGGTTGTTTCTGTTGCCTATGTCATTTGGATTGGATTAGGAAAAATATGTGCTAGGCTGAGTTATGGACCTAATCACGAGCCAGTCTATGACTGAGATACCTGACACTAGCTGCTTGCAAAGATAGATCAGAAGACTGAGCAGACTCTAAGACTTGTCCAGTTCTGGTTATTTTTGCTTTTAAAATGCCATTGAAGGGGTGGGAAAGGTAGGGGAGGCGGAGTCAACACATGCTTAAAATGTGTTTCTTCCCCAGGAGCCAAGAAGAAATGCAGACCTGGATCAATAAGATCAACTGTGTGGCTGCCGTCTTCTCTGCACCACCATTCCCAGCAGCAATTGGCTCTCAGAAGAAGTTCAGTCGTCCGCTCCTGCCAGCCACCACAACAAAGCTATCTCAGGTGAGCTGTCTTTATGTAGAGGGTAGGTGATAGTGGTTTCTCTGGCTGGCAGGAGACTGGATGGTTGTCCTCGGCATTATTTTGAGGCTGTTGCCACTAGCATTCCTTGGAGAGGTAGGCTTGCACAGTAAATCTCTGCTTATTTCCTGATGCAAGGTTTGAAGTGGGGAGAGAGAAGGAGCAGACTTGAATATAATTGTTTTATAGTTTTGAAGAAAAGAAACAATCACCAGTGTTCCTAGTATCACATGTAGAATTTTCATTCCATGGTTATGGCTCTGCAGAGGACATTTCAAATACTGTCTGGTGGGTTTTTTTGAATATGCCTGTTTATTGCTACTCATTTCAGAAAAAATGGTCTTTGGCTTATTGAGGTGACAAAAGGTGAAAGCTGATGCATCAGGCAAGCATCAATTATATTTGTTCCACAATACTTCTCCAACTCTCACCAGCTCAGGGACTTCTTGTTTGATGTATATTTATAAACTGCGTCTTACGTGAGCATCTTTGGTCTCCCCTTGTGATCACATAAGCTTTTAGCTTCTGCAGCATCCTGTAGCAGGGAGTTTCACAGCTCTACTACTTCTTGCACGAAAAACCACCTACTTCTGCTTGTTTCAGACAGGCTGTGTCTGATGCTTGTGCCCATAGCTCTGTGTACTCTAAGAGCCGTGATGCATGCCTGCATTTCTTCCTGCACTGGTAGGAACATGGTATTGATTGTGTTGATCAGGTTGACAGTGGCAGGGGTGACAAGTCCTTGGTGATCTAGGATAGAGATCTGTCCTAGGTGTAGACTTTATGAGTAACCTCCTTTAGTTTTTAAAGTCATCTGCCCATTCTGGATTGCATCTTAAATCCTTTTTTTTTCTTTTTTTTTTTTTCCCCGCCATCTTTATAGCTTAGCAACACTCCTTGGAAACCATTATCTCATAATCTGCATTTCTCTAAGAGGGTGGGGGTTTTTATGTCGCCCCTGCTTTTTCCCTCTCTGTAGCTGTAGCCTTTCCTCTAACAGTGTGGTGATCAACTTTCCATCTTCTGTTCTGGGTTAAAGTTTGAAACGTGTCTCATACAGTATAATATAACTTGTCTCATCCTTGTGGTTTTACCTTTTGATCATGCATACCTTTTTAAAAATACTGTATGGTGCTTCAGTAGTTTACCCCCAGTCACCAAAAAAAAAGGTTTTTTACTCACTGTTGTTCTGTGTGATTGTTCCATTTAGCACATTGTTTCCTAGTCTCATTGTTTCCATTTAATCTGGAAAGGAAAGAAATAGAACACAGCCCTGTGGTTTGTGTCTTGAAGAAAGGGAGACACGAAAAGTGGAATAAGATAAGCTGTTTTAGCTAAAGGCAGAAGAATGTGAAGTGTTCAAAGCAGATGAATTCAAAGGCAAGCAGAAACATGTTTGCTTTTATCTGTCAGTGTGGAAAAGCTGCCAGCAGGCTGCTTCTCATTTGGCAGACAAAAAAAAATATGAATTGTCAAATCCCTGTGGGTGCTGTTTAGGATTTTGTGGGCCAAATCATGATGGACAGAGCTTCTTCAAAGGGCCTGTTCCTGGTCAGGCAAAAGTCGGTATGCAGTGAGAACCTAACGTGGGTGTGGGAGAGAGGTAGGACATGACAGGCTCTGTGAGATCATTTTACCAAGTTTGCTTTCAAAAGCAAATCAGTGTCTGATCTTGGTTAGTCCAGCTGAAGAGGGATGTGACAAAGCTATATATAAAGGAGCAACCAGTCTAGAAAATATCTACTAGGGTTTGGGGCTTTTTTTCCACCTTTTTTTCTGAGAATGTGCATGTACACACAAAAGCTACAAAGGCCTGATGCCCTGGAAATTGCAAGTGCCAAATTAATAGCTGTTCAAAGACCTCCCATCATCGGGTTATAGAACTCACAGCAACAGGATGTCACTGGGACCTAAGATTCAGCACAATGTAAAGAGTGATTTGGCCCTAATAGAGAGAGCAAGCATATCCAGGGTAGTTACTAAGAGCAACAAGAATTTTTGGCAGCCAATAGTGAGTGGTTTGAACCCTACCATGTATAGATGGAGGCAAATTATCCCACTTTTTTTGCTTTGGTTCTCTTGCAAAAGAGTTGAAACCCAAGATTAGCTGGGGCTCAACTATTATCTTTCTGCTCTTTTCCACAGCTCCAGCTCAGTGAGCCAAGAGGCTCTGTCCCTGCTGTGACTCACAGTGTGGTGCAGACATGTCCAAGCTAGGCTTGAAGCTGCAAGCTGCACAGTTACACCATGGGGGGACAACTACTGGCAGCTATCCCCTCTTCTAAGGCTAGGTGCATACACAGGACCTGAGCTGGGTACTACCTGCTGTTAGGAGTTTGGCTAGGTCACTGAGATCTGCATAATCATGTCTCTATTTTGGACTTACCTAATTCAAGCATAAATTCAGATCCAAGCCTACAAATGGCCAGAAAGCCATGCTGCAGGAGCTGGAAACCTTCTGAGCAGAGGGAAGGTTAGCTGACAGATGGACTGGAGGAAGTGAGTGGGCCTGGGATTGTGATAAAGGAAATTGCCTCTAAAGGGGGAGTAGTAGCTCTTCACTTTCTGCAGCTGCACAGTGGGATAAAGGCTGGTAGCAGCTCAGTAAAACAAAATACCTTTTGGGGATTGGACAGCCCTTCCTCTTCTGGATGCACTGTATTGTTCTGAAGAAATGGAAGCTGCAGACCAGAGAGCATTTGGCTGTGCAGAAATGGAAGGAACCCTGACTTCATGTCCTTTCTGTCCTGGAATGAGCTACTTTTACATTTCAAAGACCTGAGGCAGGATGTTCACCTGTCTCATTCTGTCCTTGGTCTGACTGCATACACAACAGCTTTAATTAATTTGCCAAAAAATGTATTAGGGCAGGAGTGTCATGTTGTCAGTAATGCTCTGCAGCAAGCTGCTTCTGTTGCTCTCAGCAAGGTGAGGGATGACAGGTTTGCTATCCTTCCCAGTGGCATCTGCTAGCTCCCGAGTTTTTCTGCAAACTTGGCCACTTTGCTTGGGTGCCTTTGAGAGAGATGTTGGGGACAGAGCTCTGAGATAACAGACCTTATCAATCTGATTATGATTAGTTAAAGGAGAGAAGGAGAGAAAGAAAAAGAAACTAATTGGTGTTATTGTACAAGTATCTCTCTATTTTCCTATGCTTATCAAATATTCTAGATTCTGTCTCTTAAGTGCCTAACATGTTTTTCAAGGATGACCAGCTGAAGTCTCATGAAACTAAGCTGAAACAGATCTCCAATGAGCTTGCTGAGCACCGTTCCTATCCTCCTGACAAGAAGCTCAAAGGCAAGGAAGTAGAGGATTACAAACTGAAGGACCACTATCTGGAGTTTGAGGTATGTATGGGAAACATGATTACTTTTACTGTTTGGGTTTACTTTTTGGATGAGGCAGCTGGTCCTATATTTTGGATACAGTTTCAACTTAGGTTTCAACTTAGGTTGTGCATTTTTCACCTTACTTCACCAAGGAATATGTTCTTATCAGACAGATATGTTCCAACAATCCCAGCAGCTGGGATGCTGCTCCTCTTTCTGATAAGAACTTCCTGGGACCTTAGCCATGAATTTAGCTCCTTAATCTGCAAAATCTGGTGTACATCAGATGTATCTGTTTGAAGAGATGATAAGGTCTTCAGGCAGGCGCTGTCTCACACTGCAGGACTATGCATTGCATTCTGTCTTGGCACCTCAGTCTTCACAGAATGACTGCATTCTTCAGTAATGCAGATCATGATTGTCTTCCATTGGTATGTTCTGAAAGAAATGCTCTTCTAAAATTACTGTCATAGGCATGCCAGATCAGAGCCATTTGTGCTGTGTACCAGTGAGTGAGCTGGATGTCAGGATGAGCAGGAAAAGGGTAGAATTAAAGATCACAGGACTGAGTGGTGCAACTTAGGCACCTGCATTAGGAGGTTGTTGTGAGTATTTGACAGCAGCTTTTGTCCATCATAGTGTCTGCCACACTGTAGGTCTGTGTGGGAGGGGCTCAGCAAGCAGTGGGTGCCTGGTATTTTTCATTCCGGCGTCTTTGAGTTTTCCCTCCCAGGAGCTGCAAGTCAGTGTTGCCTTGTGACTGAAAGGATCCTACTTTAGATAAAGGCAGTGCATGGCAGGGAGAATCCATAATCAGAAGAAGAGGCAGATAAGACAAAAGTCAGAGAGACCACTAGAGGCAACAAAAGCCTCTGGAACTGAAGTAAGCCTCCTGCCATGTGTTATATAAGCTGGAGAAAGAAAGACAAGGAGGAAGGTCCAGGGTAGTAACAGGCTTGTTGGCTGCCCCTCTGTCCATGGGAAGATGATGGAAGAAGAAGAAGGAGGTCATCATGAGTAATGAGCATGGCTTTATGAAGGCAAAATCATGCCTGACTGACATGATAGCCTTCTACAATGAAATGTCTGGTGTGATCGGTGAAGGTAGAGCAGTGGATGTTGTTTGTTCTTGAATATAACAAGGATTTTGATATTGTCTCTGCTAGCATCCTCGTAGACAAGCTGATAAAATGTGGACTACGAAATCGACACTTACGTGGTTTGGAAACTGCCTGAACAGTCAAGATCAAAGGGTTGTGATCAATGGTGCAATGTCAGTTTTGAACACAGCACTTGGATGTACAGAGCAAGCCTGTACATCTGTACACTTTCCTTCTATATGGGGTCTTGTGCAACTTGGGAGAGCAAAGAGTTTCTTGGGTTTGAGTCCTTGACAAAAAGTTTACTTCAGTCATTTCTAGAAGCACAGTGAGTTAGGGTGAAATGTAGATGATTTTAGAAAGATTGATGGAGAAGGAGATAACTGTGAAGTTTTTTCTGTTTTCTGTCAATTTTATCATGGCAGTCTTTAGAGAAACATTTCTCACGTCCTTAGTGCAAACCAGAACCATTGCAGCCCAGGAAACAAAAGGTACCTTCTTTCCTAGTGGAAACCTTGAGCACCAATTGAACTGTGCAATTCAGGCATGTGATCAGCACAGCAGGAATGCATGTCTGGGTGACGATGATGATTCAAGGTACTGATATGCAATGCTGTGTTACCTTCACACTTGGAGCAAAGTTTGCAGGCCATGCTGAGCTATCAATGGGCAGTAAAAAAAAAACTAAAAAAACACCCAAACCAAAGGTGAGCTATATGAAAATCCTGAATGGAAAATTTTCCCAGGTTTTAGGGTTTTCTCACCTTCCCTTCAGAACAAAATCCTGTCAGGATGAGGCAGGAGATGGTGACAGACCTTGCTGCATTAGGTCAAAGCAAAAGAGCAAGAGGCAGATGGGGCAGTATTTTGTGCTTGGCTCTTTCAGGCTGAGACTGTAGACCAGACCTTGCATCCATGTACAAAGGGGCATACTGGTAGATTTCCAGAAGCACATCAGAAGGGCCTCTGAGTCCCAAAGGAAGCAGAATAGTCCCATTAGAAAAGCAGAAACCAGATTCCTTTTCTGCAGGCTCTTGTAATTCCCCTTTTTTTACACCCATTAGTGTTCCCTTCATTTTTATTCTGGATGAAAGACAAGTGAAATGGTGTTTCCCCCTGAGGGCAGGTGAAACAGGAGGCACCTGGTTCAGGGATGCAGCAAGGAATATTTCTTCTTGCTGGTGTGTTTACTTGCCCACACCAAGGAAGGAACATTTCTCTTTGCTTGCTGGGGGAACAAGTACTGCTCCAGATGATGGTTGCTCATTGGAGCAAATTAATGGTTTGAGAGAGATCTTTTGAATGCTGTCAGGTGAGAGGTGAAGATAGAAATCTAATGGGTGGCTGTTTCGTCTCCTCTTTATTATATGCCCTTGTTCTTCAGAGAAAACATTGCAGAAGCTTTTGAGTAGTTTAACTTTTTTTTTTAAGTTTTGTGGGTTTACTTTCTTGACAGAATTTTCCAGATTAATTTCTTTTAAGGAAAATTTTCCACCAGCTTTAGTACCTACCTTCAAATGTGAGATCACTGAAAGAGCAAGCTTGTTGCAGTTGAAATCAAAATAGAAACTTCCAAATGCATGGCTTAATTGTAATAGAAATCACGGGCCTACAAAGTCCATTGGCAGACTTGCCAGGCAGAAACTGCATTAGATTTCTATTCTGAATGGTGGGTCTGTTGACCCTGGTGGCGTTTACTGGACCAACAAAAAGTGGAAGTCCATACAGTGGTAAAGTCCCTCTCTATCCTGATGATCCCAGGCTTAGAGCATTGGCTTGCCTTTTCTTTTGCAGAGGTGTCCTGTTCATTATATGCTGAATCGTTCATCAGCCCAGTGCATCACGACCAGGGTTCTGCTCACTGTTTCTGTTTCCTTTTTTATTGAATGACACATCTTACCTACTTTATGTGTTTGTCTTTCATGTTGTGGAGCTGGAACTCCAGATACGGAATGGATAAGACTGCTTTTTTTATTTAATTTTTAGGTGGATTTTTTTATGATCCTCCTCTCTGCGGTTCTGTTTACTCAAAGGACTGTTTGGAAACCCAGTCACGTTCTCTCCCTGTTTGTAATTTTTCCCTTTATATTCCATGCTTCAAAGCAGTTACCAAATTTTTTGACTTCCTGCCCTTCCTGCTTTTACCAGAACTTTATTATTTTATTATAAATAGGAAGAATTTTTCTTCAACATTTTTTCCTCTGTCAGGTACATAATAGTTTGGCTGCTGTTTTGCCACTTTGAAATATAAATTAGCAATCAGTATGGATGTTTACTGCTTCCATCCCTGACCCTAGCCCACTGAGATCATCTGAATTACAATGCCTGCATAATATCTTTATTGGATATGTCAGGGGCACATTTTTAAACAAATCCCTGGGAGGTGGGTTGCTTTGTTCTCAGGACCTCCTGCACTAGCTTCTGTTTTTGAGGTCTTCTGTTAGTGTACCCTCATTTTGTTGGTTGCCAAGACGTTCTATGCAAAAAGATGGTATTGTGGCACACAGCAAAATCTTCCCCATGGAGATGGAAAGCTCCACTCCAAAGAACAGAATAAATGGGGCACAGTAAAGTGAACTTTTTCTAATTGTAAAATATAGATGTCTGGACAGAGAGCAACCTTCATCATTCACCATGTGTGGCCCTGTAAAGGATACATACCTTCCTGCTTTCAGCCCTCTTATCTGCTCCTTTTTGTTAAGGTTTGGTCTTGCAGAGCATCCTCTCACAAGCTCAGTGGTGGCCAAGCCAGTACTATCTGAGTTTAGGAGTGCCCTTCTTTGGTTTCTCCCCCTGGGCTAAAGCAAGGAAAAGGACCTTTTTCTTCTCTGCAAAAGGAAAAGGTGGGAGTAGAGTGTTGCAGGGAAGAGTTGTAGCAAACCAGAGCAGGATTTTTGTTGTCCCTTACTTTGCTGCACTCTTTCTCCATGCCTGCGTGGGGCACGTAGCATCTCGGTACGTGTGAGCACAGAATATGACTCAGTGTGACTGTAGTCAGCAAGCTCTCTCTTGGCTTTGTTACTTGGAAATCTTTATGTGCTTCAAGTAGCTGAGAGCCACTGTTCAGTTTAGCACTGGGAATTGTTTGCTGCTGTGTGCCTCTAATTGCACAGCACCCCCCGGGCTCAACCTGCCTTGAATCTTTTTTGTAGAGTGTAATTTACATTACCCACCATTGTTCATGTCCACATCAGGCACCATTGTTCCCATCCATATTAGGCTCTTGACTTTCTTCAAGGCCAGCAGAGAGCATTAAGTTATGGGTAAGATATCTCAAGTGCTTCTGCAGATTTTTTTGCAGGCTGATTCAGGTTTTTCTTTTAATTTCCCAGAAAAATCGCTATGAGACTTACGTCAGTCTCCTGAAAGAAGGGGTGAAGGATCTGCTGAGCGGAGGAGAGAATGATGCACCAGGACTGAAGAAATCCCACTCGAGTCCCTCATTGAACCAGGAGTCTCCAGTTAGTGCAAAGGTGAAACGCAACGTCTCAGAGAGGAAGGACCACAGGCCAGAAACACCCAGCATTAAGCAGAAGGTCACTTAAGGTGGAAATGAGAACTAGAGGAACAGCCATGAAGCAAAGTACCGGTGTTCAAAATTTTTCCATTTAATAACCTGTCATCACAAAAAAAAAAAAAGTGCATCTGCCTGAATGGGGTGTTAGTGACATTTTCTATTGTATATTTTTGCTGTTTCTGTGCAGATTGTGGGAGATGTCTTTGCTCCTGCTTTGCTTTGTTAATTTATCATTTAGCAGTTGAAGCATCAGGACTTTCTTGTGTTGTTCTGTTTCTAAAGGAGCTTGGGAAGAGATAGAGCGCTGTGGCGTATATTCTGTCTCTTCCCCATTTATCTCCTCCCATCGGCACGTGGCTTTCATCTCTCGAGTCACTTGTCACTTTATTGACGTGGTGGGTGGGAAAAGTAACTGGACAAATGCTGCAGTGCTGTGGAAGAGAGCTGTGCAATCAGGCAGCTGCAGAAGGCTGGCTAGAGCTAGGGGTGCTGGGAACAATGTGAAGCATGTTGGTACTGGTACTTCGCAGCAGTAAATAGTCACTGTTGCTTATCATTATTGCATTGGATTGACCCTGGACCCACGAGCATGAAGGAGTGAAACCTGGAAACCTCTGGCAATGCTAGGATGACAGCATTTGAATAATTTGTTTGCTTTCTCACAAGCAAAGAGCCTTCTCCTGAGTTAGCAGACTGGGAGGTATCCAGACCTGTGCTGTCTCTGTAGTCAGGGAGATTAGGGACCTCTTGACCTCCCAGTCAGAATGCCTACCTGGGCTTTAAGTTTATTTGTGGAGGAGGCTGCTGTAAATGTCAGCCATTAGCATTGTATTTTAAAGACAAAAGGCCTCTGTGTAGTTTTTAACTATACGCTCTCACTTAGCTGCTATATAGAGCCTTATGATGTATTGTTCCCTGATGTTCCCCCTTCCAGGAGTTTCCGTGTTGGTGTGCACAGATAGGTGTTTGTAATTTCTCTGCTAGTGACAGAGCCCTTTGCCTTTTCTCTTCAGTAAGGGATTCTCCTCAGATCTCTCTTTTTCTGCTTTAGCTCACCTATAAGTGGAGGAGGCTGGTACAGACTGGAGAAGGGGACAGATGTCCTCACTGTGGGCTGGGTTTTGATGCCACACTGGTTACTCTGTGCCTGGAGGCCAGCACAAGGCAGCCTCAGCTTTGGCAGGTCTTACTCTTCACCCACCACAAGCCAGCTCACCTTGCAGCTTCTGTGTACCCTGTGCCAGGCTCTAAGAAGGGAGCGTAGGACAGGGAATGGCCACCATGCGTAAAGCTTTTCGTGGTTGAAAGCCTCCTGGTTTGTGCCACAGATCGCTCAGGGCCAGCAGTTTTCAGGCACAGGGAGTAGAAAGATGATGTAGAAATCATCTTCCTGCTCTTGACCCTCTCGCCTGGGTGGCATCGTGGCTCTGCAGAGAGCACTGGCTCACCTGATACTTAACCCTGGGTTTTAACCTCAGGTTTGAAACTGGCCCACTGGGTGAGCTCAGACAGGTCTCTCCCATTGTACATCACCCTTCCGCTACATGCAGTACAACCAAACTAGCCTTTCTTTCGTTTGCTGCCAGGCGCAACAAAACTGTGTTGTGCCTGGCACAGGACAGCCTTCCTGATGGATGTAATTCTTAGCACATAAAGAGGAGTCAAGATCAATGCAAGGATTGGTCAGAAACTCACTGGTGTTTCCAGCCCGAGTAGTCAAAAGACCACACATCAAAAAAATTGCCACCACAGTGGGTTTGTGCCCTGCCAGACTTGCCAAATGGTCCAAGTCAATTAATCTGTCTTATTGAACTGCCAGTTCAGTGGGCAGGACAGGGAGTGATCAAAGAGAGAAGGACCATAACAGGCACCGCATGACTTGCCTCCCTCACTGAGGACCACCATTCAACAGCTTTTGCGGTGCTGTGCTCACTGTTGTCTGTAACAGAGATGTTGCACTTTCAGATGCTGAGGTGGTGAAGCAAATCAATCCTTGCAGTTGCTGCCCAGCAGAAAAAACAGAGGGACTGTTCCCATGTGTGATTGCTGGGACACATCTGGTATCTGCCACTGATAGAAGTCAGGAGGCTGGCCCCTAACCCTGCTAAAACTGCAGAGTCCTGAATAGAAACCATCAGTACTTACCAAGGGCTGGGGTGTTAGCAATCGTGCATGCTTACTACAGTGGGGCAAATGTGCAGTCCTCTTACTGAAGGAAATGCCTTCTGCTGCTTGGAGCCAAAGTGATGTGGTGCAGGATGCTGTGTTAAGAGACTCAGGGTGGACAGGTGCATGACAGTGCTCATTGGGAGGCATTGTTTGAATTAATCAAGTGTGGTAGATCAACAGCTCTCCAAGGGGAACAAGGCCAGATCCCTGCATGCTCTAGTGGTTTGAAGCAAGCAGAAGAGTAGAAGAAATTCATTCAGAGACCGCTGAATGCATATTTGAGAAGAAAACTTGTGCTGTTACAGAAAACAGTGTTAGTAAGCATGCAGAAGAAACAAAAAATAAATCTGGAGGTTTGTAAAGGGGCCTTGGTTGGCTCTCAGGGTGGGGTTGTCCAGTTGAGGATTTCAAAGACCGGTTGGACTATGCCCGGCAAACCTCTTGTGATTATAGAATGCAGTGCCTTAAAAGGCAAAGAGGTGACATTTGACTTTTTTTTTTTTTTGCCCCTGCCTTTAAAAATATTCTTGTTGCTGTAGACTGCAGTTAAATTGCGGAGCTCAAAAAGAAATTATGTGTGTAAAATGCATTGCCCAGCTTTGACACAGAAACAGGATAATTCCTCTCCAAAGTCATTGCAAAGCAAATGATTTGAAACAATAAGAAAAGTCAAAAGTGAACTGAAAAAATGGTAATTTTTTTTTTCTCCATTATTTATTCTGTGTTTCCATGTGCACGTATAAATGGATTAGGGTGTATTTTTTAAAGTCTCATCTGGGCTTAGCAAATGCAGTTCTTTCAGCGCGTGTCTTAGTCATTAAACATTTGAGCTTGGAACACTCTTGGTGAGACTGCTGAGGCATGCAGATTAATTTACTGAGGATTTTTCAGGTTCTGCTTAAGTTTTAATTAATGACATTTTGCTCCATTGCTTTGCAAATTCTAGCCATTGCAAGCACCCATGTGAAAATGCACATGAAGTTGAGAGAAAAAGGTGATCCTATTGTGAATGCCTATGGCTTCTGGACTCCCTTGGGAATAGGGTCATCTGTTAGGCAGTATGCAGATGGTATTTAACCATCTTCTGGTTGAGGACAGGTTCTGAGGAGGTCTTAGTGGTGCATCTTCTTGGGTGGCACTACTGAGGCTCTGGCCAGATAGCTTTGCATTGCTCTGCCTTTCTGCTGAAATGTTCCTTTTAGCAGAGATCAGAGCCTGACCGCAGTGGCTGTGGAGCTCCTCTTGCAATGTGTAAGGATACTCTGCTGGTTTCCAGCCCTCCTCTGGGACTCACCATGCACCTGAACTTGGTATCAGCAGCACAGCCTGCAGCTTTCTGGTGGTGCTCAGTGCGAACAGGAGTTACTGGCAGACCACCATGAGCGTGTGAGTGTGCAAGCCAGTGTTTGCGTCAGTGAAGCAGGGAGGTTTCATCCTTCCTTGTCATCTTCGCTGCTGCAGCATGCAAATGTTGCTCAGGCAAAGCTTCTGTCTGCGTGCTCAGAGTGGGGGATGCTGGGAAGGGATCAGGATGGGGCCAACGGCTTTTAGCATCCTCCCTATAAAGATGCAGACAGAGGTCTTGGAGGACCCATCCTGCTTGGAAGCACTTCTGGTTGTTCACCCTTCAGGGGCTGGACCATCTCCTCACCTGGCTGAGGGAGGTGAGGCAGGAGAGAGCCTCACTGGGTCTGCACTTGGCAGTAGAGAGGTGAGGGAGAAGGATAAAATTGCCTTCCTCATTCCCCATGTGGTAACTGGAGGAGGTGAGATACTCTCCTGAAGCCAAAACCACACTCTTCTCCATGAGTCAGCAAGATGCAGGGGTCTGGTGGAGATGGTTTTTGTTCAGCAGGCTGCTAAAGAGGCTCTCTGGGCTGGCCGTGTGTTTGTGTGTGTCTTGCAGATAAATCACTCATGGACCAGTGAACATGACTACAGATTTTAAATCCAGTATTTATGTTGTGTCTTTAATTGATGTAGAGAGATAAGTCAGCCAGCAGAGTGATTAATGCAGGGGAGCTGTGGGGGAATGCTGTTCAGCTGTGACGCCAGCTCAGACAGTTTTTCATCTGTAGCCAGCCACTTGTAAATGGTTACCAGAAGCTTTCTCAGGGCTTGTAACGGCTCATCCCTTAAGTGCTTTCCCTCTGATCCCACCTGCTCCTAGGATGCAGTCTGCCCACATTCTGAGGCTCTCCTGGAGCCCTGCTTTGAGCAGGAGTGTGAACTAGCAGACCTCCAGAGACTGCAATTGCTTGGTGATTTTTTCACAGCCCTAGTGCCTTCCGGTAACAAGGCTTGTGGTTCTTCTGGCCTGAAATAGTCAGCATTTTTGTCTTTCTCTGGTGGGGGAGTGAGGTTCTTGGTTCATTAGAGCAGCTTGTTTCATGAGGAGGTGGATGTGGCAGTGAAGAAAGTCAAAGGTGTCAGGGTAAATCACTGGGCTTCTACAGGTACTGAATGGCAATATTCTTCTGGAAAGTGGGGAAGGCTTTTCTCTGCAGACAGTATACCACTTACTGTGTCTACATTCTCCATCACTAATTCAATTTTGGCCTTATCACAGTTAGTCTGACAGCTCCTCCTCCTTTTCTGTAAAGCTGCTCCTGTCTGTCATCTTAGCACCTCAGCTGCTTCTGTATAACAGGTCTCTTTCCTTCCATGCTTGCAGGAATCCAGAAAATTTGACTGTCCCATCTTGCCTTGAGAAAACCTGCTCTGAAGCAGTGCTGCGTTGAATGGATAACCCTGTGAACAGCTTTCTCATTCTACTCCTTGGTAGCCTGGTTTCCAGCCACAGTTATAGCTGGGAGGTGTGAGACAGAGTTTCAGACTGCTGTAATCCTCTAGCGTTAGCTGCAGGGATACAAGGTCCCCCTCCCACACTCAGACCAGACACTTGAGACATTCCTGGTCTCCTTTCCGAAAGTCTTGGAGGCAGAGGCAACCCATGCTGTGGGGAAAGTTTGAAATGCTGTTTTGCAAGGAATTGGGAACTTTGCAAATCAGGACATACATCTTCCAGCCTTTGAAAGTGGGGAAGAAAAGAAAAATAATTAAAAGAAAGGCCATTTTCAACCAGTGTCCCTCAAGCACAGAGGTATCCAGGTTATCAGAATCACCATCTGCTGTTGCAGAGGCAAAGGCAGTATATACACTTTATCTCCAGCAATCTTACAGCTTGCTGCTGGTTTAAACTTTCCCTGGTATTGCTCTCCCCAGGCTCTGGGATGTCACATCTGCTCTGAAGAGGGCAGTTATGAAGTCCTCGTTTCTCCCCAGAGCACAGCCAGAGCTCCTCAGCGTGTGCCCCCAGGCTCCATTCACTAGGCTGCCTGGGGGGCTGTATCAGAAATTTCTTTGAAAGAGCTGATCTGTGCTCTTCAGAGGGTATTTTTAGTGCATACAGAAGCAGTGTGCCTGGCATCTCCCCTCTCCCAGAGGTCTCCCAGCAGCACAGGTGTAGCCTAGCGAGCTGCTTCACCTGCAGCTTCTCCATGTGGGACATGAACATTTGCTGCAGCTGCAAGAGGCTTTGTCAGCCTCTGTAGAAATGATGTTGCCTAAGCTGAGCACCAGTGCGTAGGACAGTGATACTGTAGGAATACCAGTGGCTGGTCACCTGCTGGAGAATGTGTGTTTGAGCATTGCCTTCAGTGCTGGGGGTAATTAGAAAGGCTGGCTTCCTTTCCCACCTGCACTGTGCTGCTTGAGGAACTGTCCCTACCACCTGCTGCTTTTCTCCCTTGTGACAGCAGCACCCTCAACCAGGGGTGCTACAGTCGTGTTATGAGGAGGCTGGTTTAAATGGGAGCAAGGAGGACAGGTCCCAGTGAAATATGTCTGCGTGCCATCTGGGAGTATCTGCTCTCCTGTTGGCAACAGTGAAAGGAGGCAGGCTCAGCCCTGCCTGAGAGAATGTACCATGCCCATCCACTTTGTTAGCTCTGTTGAGGCTCCTTTTTATTTATTAGAGCATTTCCCTTAGCGAGTGGGAGCAACAGCTTTCCCAGGAGCCGCACCATTGACCTGACTTTGTTCCCATGGTCAGGAGGAGCAAATTTAGGCCAGCCCAAAGTGTACTTTGTCCTCCCATTTGAACAATGAGCAGTCATTAAACATTACAAATGTTTAAACAATGGGGGACCTCCCATGGCATCTGCTATTAAATCTGTGCCAGGGATCAGCTGGGGTACTGGCCAGAAGTTTATTTGGACCAAGGAAAAGTACATCACTTAGCAATGAAAAGATCGAAATTGCTAAGACTACAAGGGCAGGATTTTTCCCCTGACATAAACCATTGTAATTAGTAGCCGCTCTATAGCAGTGGTCTTGGACGTAATTCACCTAAATAAGACCAGTGCAAGAGGGTATTTTTGTGTAAGCAGGCCAGGTTTCAGCTTCACTGCTGTTTCCAAGCTGCCATGGAGACTTGCTTGATGCAAAATCTTCTGACACCCCTGAGCCTCTTGCTGGAATAAGGGAGGTCAATGATATCCAGTCTGTGACACTGCACAAGGCAAACTCTTATCAGTGATTCAAGTCTTATGTCACTTATGTGCTTATGGAAACCTCATGCTCAGTGCTTTCAAATTCCGAAAGACTGCAGGAGAAGAAGACGTGTGGGTTGTGTGGGGATTTTTGTTATTTTCTTTTTTTGTTTGTTTGCTTTTGTTTTTTTGTTTTGGAATTTGTATTCATTAGAACTGTGTCCTCTTACTCAAGGCTGGGATTATAACTTGGCTTAAAGAACAGAGTTTCTGACAGTTTGAAAACTTTAAGATCACTACTGTTTGCGTGAGGTACAATCGGAGGCTTTTACATTACTTGGTGAACATGTTACAGTGGTGCCTATAGATGTGTGTATGTATTTCATAGGTATAGTATGGCTTCTGTGGCTCAGCACTCTAAAGCCTGCTGTCGTTCTTTTCTGGGGCTTGTTTTGGTCAACGCACTTAAGCAGCTGCAAACTTTGTTAGGTTATTTGTTGTTGTAGTTCTGAAATTAGGTTAAACAGTCATCAGAGCTTTTGCAGATTTAGGGTATTCCTTGAGCTGCCTTGATCTCCATGTGTTGTCCACCAGGGGCTGCCTGTTGTCCTGTGTGTCAAAAGCAAAGGCTTATATTTAGGAGAGTCTAAGCAAGGACTACTGGGTGGGATTTTCTGCTATATCTTAACATCAGGCTAACTCTTTCCCTGTTGATGTTGGCTGATGCCTGCACCAGGAGCATCCATGCTGACTTCTGAAAGTCTCGCTCTCGGGATCTAACACACAGCTTTACTCCTGAAAATGTTCACCTCACTCTGGAAATTCAGCAAGGGGACATCATGTCCAAAAAACGTCCAAGCAGGACAGGTGCCTGTGATGTCTCCTGCAGATACGATCATACAGTGGTAGTGAGAGTTTGTTTCTGCAACTGTACAGATTTCCAGAAGAGTGTCTGGCTCATCAGCAGGAAAAAGAAAAGCTGCAGACCTGAAATATTTCTCTTGGGCATCTTGTATGCCTTTGAGAGGTTTCTCTTTGAAGGTTTAAGCAACCTTTTAACAGGTTGCTGGTCTAAGTAAAAAGACATGAGGAAACCCAGTTTTCCTATTGCACTCTAGTGAGGGCAATATTAGGATTGCTTCCCTGGAAAGGAAAGCAAAGCCTGTGGGTGGAATTCCTACCTGGAGTTACCTTGTGCAAGTTACCTTGAATCAGTTAAGCAACCTCAGTGAAGCCATTGCCTTTGTACTTCACTGGATGGTAGCCAGAGTGATTGTGTCTTGCAGGAGTGAGACATGAGTAGACTGCAGCTCAAGATGAAATGAAGAGCCACGTCCCTATCACCTTGCTTTGGGCGAGCTGTGATCCTGTAATCCTTTTTCAGGCACTGAGCTTGTCCATGGGGTTACCTGCCTCCTATGGTGATGTAGTGGGAAGATGAGGGTAAGACCATCACACTCAGAGTCACAGTTGGGAAAATGTCATTTTCCCTCTGCCTGAGCTGTTGCTGTGTTGCTTCCTTTAGGACAAGAAAGAGGACTGAATTTTCAGTTATAGCTGTGTGGTACTCATATGGAAGACTAACTGTAGTAGTGGTAGTGCAGAAAAACATTTTGCACTTGTGTTTGCCCACACCCTGTGCATCTCTTGTGTGCAGATCTTACAGGGCCTGACAGCAGCCCTTGCAAAATCTTTCCTTGGTGTGACCTCCTATCCCTTTAGTCAAGTGTAGGAACCTACTTTCTGGTAACCTTGAACTCACTTTACTCTCATCACTGACTCGCTGGAGTGTTTTTCATACAACACACTAGAGACGCAGTCCCGGTCTCTCTTCTTTGTGGTAACTTCTTGGTCTGCTGTAAAGCAGCATTGAGGTAATCACAAAATCTTTTCCAGCAGTGTGAAACTTGCTGTTCTGACTCCTGAGGTGGTCATTGTCTTGGGTTTGAGGCTGTCCTACCACCAGGGCACCCCATTTTGTTCCTGGGAATATGCATGGCCAGAAAAGCATACTCCTCAGGGGTCAGAGTCAGAGCTGTGCAGACTTAGTCAAGCCCTGGTTCATAGGAGATGTTTCCACGTGCTGCTGATGTCCATAAGGACTTAAACATATACTGGCTTACACAGAGATGCTTTCCTGAAGCAGACTTGTCACTCTTTTTCTACAGGTATCATAGGATGCCCTCCCTTATTCTGCTTCATGTAACTGGTACTAGAATGATCATTTCCTGATAAATGAAGGCACTTAATCAGTCCTTTTCCCCTTGGAAGAGGACTTTTGGGGATATTGTTATATCATTTAAAATAATATTTTGGAATTTAAGTTTACATTGCTTTATTTTTCACTTGAGGTGACTGTATATAAATATTTTCCTCTATTTTATCATTGCTGATAAAGTAAGCCTACGGTATACAGACAAATAATTCGCCTTTGATGTATTGAAACTGTGAGATATAAAGTAGACTTCTCTCTTGTGTCCATGTTTCTGACTATAACTCTGTTCCTCTGTGTTTTTATAAGTTGGAATAAATGTTGCTTACGGGCAACAGAGAGCCTACAAGCTTACCAATAATTTTTATGTAATTGAAATCAAGCAACCCTAGTGAAGGATCTCACATATGTATAATGATATATGTATATGTACAAACTTTAGAAAGAAATAAACCAAATGTATTTCATCTTCTGCAATTGAATGTTTTTTATTGGAGTCCATGCAGTTGCTTCCTACAAGAACATAAAGGTGGCTTTATCAGCTCACGCAGCAGCCTCTGGCTGTTCTGCTCAGGGAAGATACAGACCCATTAGCTCATGCAGCAGGTTCTCCAGTGCACCCTTCTGATTTCTGGCAGCCAGCAGTTTCAAGGTTTCCAGATATGGAGAGTCCATGTCCTGTGCCTTTCAGAAACAGCCTGGCCCTGAATACATTTACCAGGGGCTGGTCAAGCCCCTCACAAATGCGTAGGAAACAGTCCTTACTGAAGGAAGCACGATGAAGCATGTGGTTGGAGCCCATGCTATGTGAGGCTAGCGGGAGCATGTTGCTTTTCCGTTTGCATTTCTACAAGAGGTGGCTGCCCCTCCAGGCTGTTACAGGTTGTATAGCCTGCAAGGTTACCACTGCTTAGCTGTGAAGTGACACCAAGAGGATAATTAATGGGTTAAAAACACATTTACCAGCCCAAGGGTTGGAAGAGGGAGGCTGCCACAAAGAGCTCTTCAGAAATTAGTGAGCATTGACCTCAAAATTGTCATGAGATTGTTTTGAAGCACTGTCAAGGTTGGGAATGGCGGATGGCCTTCTGGATGGGAATCAAGGATGCATGAAATGCAGAGAAGTCAGCCACTAAAGAAAAACCGAGAGCGCAGAAAGAGGTGGGAGTGGGTGAGAAATGATGGCTGTCCAAAGCGAGAGAAAACAGGCTGTACAACGCACAGAAAGCAAACAGCCTTGTGTTTGCAGTTCTTGGGATGGACATGGCTCAATGTGGGAAGGTAGGATACTGTGTGGAGAGTGAGTAACAGGGCTAATGAAGAGGATGTGTCCAGAATCAGGTGGGACATGCAGAAGCTTTACAACAGGACTGGGAGCTTGTGTTGAAGGTAATAATAAAGGAGACATGTTTTTTCTTACTAAGATCTCTGCATGTTTGACCATCATGAGATTATTGTTTCTTTGTATTTTTAACTCCTAGAGACTCGGCATGCTGCCTTTAGATGAATGGGAAGACCTCCTGCACTTGAGAGTTGTACACTTTCCCCCCTACAAACACACACATTCTGCCATGGGATGTCAGATTTCTTCATTTCTGTTCCATCCTGGTTTCTTCAAAGCACTCAGGGTTTTTGGTTCCATGCATGCCCCTGGATTAGTACGTCTTTTTCACAAAAGACTAAACAAAGAGGTGGTGAGGATGGGTGGGAGTATTTTACAAAGATGTATTAAATGCTTCCTCTAAGCCCAAATGAATGTTTTAACTGTATCTGAATGTTAATGTCAGTGCTGCTCACCACATCTTTTCCTATTTTGTCTTCCTAGCTGACAAGTCAACGCTGAGCATTTTCTGGTGATTGCCTGGAATCGTTAGTCGTGTCACGTTGCTCACAATGCATTAAACTAGAACAAGATGACAGAACAGGTGCATCGTGAAAGACAGATACATTTATATTCTCTTCATTGTTTGTCCATTTTCAGTTCAGGTTTCCACGTATGGAATATAATTATCAAGGGAGCCTGAAAGGGCTAGCTTGTGTATGCAGGTGAAACTACCAGTTCGCAGAAGCTACACATCTCTGGCTCTTCATAAATAATGTAGCATGGGAGAGTGACTTAGCCCAAAAGTAAAGCACAGTTTGGTTTGAAATTGTCACGGGTATCTCTAGATTATAAAGGGAAAGAAGAAGGTTCTTACCCAGCAGAGCACTGTACCACAGTGGCTTCCTAAATTGCAAGAAAAGGGCAAAAATACCCAGTAGTTTCTAAAGTAGAGCTGGAGGGGGGATGGTGTGCTGATGACCAAGGTTTTCATCTGTCAGGCCATGACGTGTTCCAGCTCTTTCTTTCCCTGTTTGCTGCTAAATCAATGTTTCTCAAAACAAATTATCCCAGCCACTATATTAGTAATTTATCCCAGAAAAAAGGGCCATCCTAGGAAACATGTTCTACTGCACAGCAGCTAGCCACACAGGTTTGCTGTCATGGTCATGCTTATTTTAGGGCACCTCTTCTTGATCCTGTTCCACTGCTATTTTTTGAGTGGACCAGTTACATAGATAATGTGGGTCTCTGTTTTACTGCTCTGCTCTTGGCAGCAAGACACAGGGACAAGGATATTAATTAGGGTGAGGTGGAGGAATTCAAGGCTAAGTAGACTGATTTGCCTTGGAGAATGTGTAAGGTAATGTGTGGCTATTATGGACTGGAACTTTGTGGGGAGGTTTTGGCCCTTTGTACCTGGTCAGGGTGTATCAGTAATACTGTACACAGCTGAGATTGCCCCAGTAACAGCTTGGGAAACACTGGATTTTGGTACAAATTTTGCTGAATTAGGCCATCCAGGAAAAAGTACCAAGCAACATGTCACTTCTTAGGGAAGAGCTTGGGCAGAGAAAGGGAGGTACAAGGGTGGCAAATGGATTGTTCCAGAAATAGAAATAATGATTCTAAGGCAGAAAATCTTCTGAAAGGAAGAGTACAGGTACCTACAGATATCTTGCAAACCTGAGCCAACAGGACTCCCTGTGTCTGGAAAACTAAGTGTAAGAGGGTGGGCTGCAGAGGGATAGATTTCCACCCTGGTAATAAGTCATGTAGGGAGGGAAGGGGGTGGATTTGTAATTGGATAGTAGGTGTGTGTGATTCATAAGGTTTGAGAGTGTTAGATTAACAGCTTTATAATTGTGTGTAATAGGGCGGAAAACAGTGTAATTGCAGATTAGAAACAGAGGCGTGTTTATTTGATAATCAATGTATTGATTACCTAATAAATTGACCAGTTTCTTGTTAATGTATTGCTTAATCACTAAACACTGCTGTTTCCTAAATCACTTACATCTGGATTTTGCAATCTAAATGGAGGGAGCTGCTTTCTGAAATAACAGTTACATGGGAGAAGGGCTCCAGGAAAGTTCTTACCTAGTTTTAACTTGCTTCAGCCTCAAGAACTTGAATGACTGAGACTGTTGTCTATAGGAATATTTGAAAACATCTGAATTATACAGGAGCTCTGTCACTGACCACAACCCACAACTAAAAAGAATGAGTCTTGAGAATGCAAGAGTAACAGTAGAAAGATATATTGGGAAAGCAAGGTCTGTGAATTAAAATCTCAGGGATAGACTTTTATAATGCCCAAGCATTGTCTTTTCTCAAAGAACAAACACTATTTGTCTGCATGTGTAAAGGCACTGGTGAGTCTTTATCTGTGCAGTCTTGAAATGTAGGTGAAATGGACCGTACAGATGGCTATAAGACTGCAGAAGAAAGCAGAATATAGCATTGGGGACTGAAAACTCTGTGGAAAACCTGGCAAGAGGGTTTGCTTAGGGGGAGACTGACCAGAACTGCTTGAAAGCTGAAGGCAAGAAGAAAGCTGAACAAGGCTGTGGAGAAGAAGCATGGGAGGCAACTGAATAGTTGCCTCCAGTTATCACTTGGAAAAGCCAATCCATTAGTAAGAAAGGAGCAGCCGCTTGTGAACGTTGCTGAACACCTCCCTTAGTCCAAGTGCTCTTTTGATGGAAAGTTCTCAGTCCCTCATTGTTTGCAGAGGCACTTTGAACACTGTCAGGGCTGCCATGGGGTCAGGAGAGTGTGCTGTGTGCTGGCCTTCAGAGAAAACTTCTCAGTTAGCCAACAAAAATATTCCTTCCTGAGCCTGGAAGGCAGCAGCATCCCTGGGTCTGTGTGAACTGTCTGCTGAATGGGGAGCGGCTTTGCTGGATAAGGGCAGGACACCCCGTTTCCCCTTCCCTTCTGCCCAGCCAAGCTGGAGCCTGCTTTCCCCTTACCCCTATACAGAGATTGCTCAAAATATGTGAGTTTGAGCGGGTGGGTAGTTGTTCTCTTCCCACCCCAAGAAAATGTCTTTTGTCAGCCAGAAAGAATCTTTCTGATCCATCTCACCTTTTGGTGCTGAGCTCAGAAGTGCGCAATAGATACGGTTTGTCATCTCTTTAAATATTTGTAGTCAGCTTGAGCAACCTTTCCCTCTCTGCCCAGACGTCCAGTGTAATAAGAACACACTTTCCCTTTCAGGGTAATTCCATCCAGGACTTGCTAACCAAGACACCTGTCTCTGGTCACGTTTGGGTGCAATCTCCAGCACAGATACATGCCCTGTCATTTGGGAAGAAGTGGTCTTGATCAAGGTGATGACAGGGATTCTGCTGTGAGGGTGGGTGTGGAAAATGTTCCTGTCAGCCAGAGATGCATGTGCGACACCCAGCTCTTGGTGCACACCTCCCATCCCACCCCATCTGGGGCTGAACTGTGCTAAGACTGGGTTGGCCAGAGACATTATCAGCAAAATTACCACAGTAATAAAGACACCAATTACTGCACCCCTGGTTTCTCCCAAAAAGATGCTCACCATAGCAGAAACTTAGAGCAGGCTGTGCCTGGGGTGGGAATACTCTCCATGCCTGGGTAAAAGATCCTGCTGGGACAGTTCTTAGGGGGCCTTGCAGCCAGGCAGTGATAGGAAGCATGGTGTAAAACCTGAGTCCCTTTTACCACAGCCATATTACCCACGCTGTGTTTCTCAGGCAACTGAGGTGTGGGAGGCGGTTAGAGATTGTAATTGTTTAGAGGGGAAAGAAGCCCATACACACACACACACACGAAAAACCCTAAAACCCCAACAAAACAAAAAAACCCAGAAGTGCTCTTTCTGTTTAGCTGCAGTTTCTGACTGCACTTTAGACAAATTGTCAGCATCCGCATTCCTGTTGGCAGGGAGCCAGGCTCCCCAGCATGCTGATTAAACCATGTGTGGGCAAAATGTAGGCAGATGATGGGGACCAAGAACACTGAAACCTTGGAGAGCTTTGTTTTGCTTGCTTTTTCTCTCCAGACTCCTTGTAGGCTAGTTTTCTGACCATCCTTCACTGGGGCTGTTCTGGGGCCTGAAGCTCCAGCTTTGGGAGCTGAGAACTGTGAAGCTGCAGAGGCTGCCTCTCACCGTCTGTAA